AAACCTGACTGTCCTCGATGGGACCTGGAGACAAGGGACTCAGAGAGACTCAAAGGTGAGTGTGAGCTATGGGGGGGGTGGGGACTTACAGGGCAGAGAGGAAGAGGAGGAGCATGGAGGAGAACTATGGAGGGTCACAGGTCAGGGACGAGGACAGAAGAGGAGGGTGAGCTATGGAGGATCACAGCACAGGGAGGAGGACAGAGAAGGGTGAGCTATGGAGGGTCATACGACAGGGAGGAGGACAGAGGAGGAGGGTGAGCTCTGGAGGATCACAGGTCAGGGAGGGAGACAGAGGAGGAGGAGGGTGAGCTATGGAGGATCACAGCACAGGGAGGGGGACAGAGGAGGAGGAGGATGAGCTATGGAGGATCACAGCACAGGGAGGAGGACAGAGGAGGAGGAGGGTGAGCTTTGGAGGGTCACAGGTCTGGGAGGAGGACAGAGATGGAGGAGGGTGATCTATGGAGGGTCACAGGACAGGGAGCAGATCAGGAAGAGGATTACAGAACTAAAGAAATCAGAAGTGGGGGAGGGTGAGTGACCCATAATTTGCTGGTGTCAGGGGAATCATCAAAGTTGAGATTACTCCCAGTCCCCATGTGGGATCTGTGTCCATAGAAGGGCAGAAAGGACCCTGGAGGGCTTGCCCTATCTTTGTTTGGTACACAGCTCCTGGGTGTCTGTGTCCTTACCAGGAAGGGACATCTCAGTGTCCCAGGATCTTCAGGCACCTTCTTCCCAGAATGCAGCTCCCAGAACCTTGAGAAATAAATGTTGAAGCCTTCTGTTCTGTGGTTTTATCATGGTGGCTGAGCTCAGTTTTTGGGCACCCTGGGGGCATCTGGTTCGTGCCCAGATCCTCGGTTTCCCCAGCAGACACAGGGGTGCTGGGTGCTGACTCAGGGCAGAGGTGAAGCTGAGTGTGCAGAGAAGTCCCCTATTGCTGGCTATGGTGGGTCTGCTTCCTTCCTACCCTCCTTCCCACCTCCCTGGGTGCTCAGGGTCCCTGGCTTTCAGAGCTGGCTGTGGGGGTCCGCTGGTGGACACACCTGCAGGAAAGGTCCTCGGGTCAAGGGGGTGCTTGGGTGGCTTCCCCTGGTTCCTACCCTTATTTAAGGTTCCTGAAGGGGGTGTCTCAGGCCTGGGCTGCTGGAAGCAGGGGTCAACCACTTCCCAGCGGGTGGCCCCTCTGGGTCCTGGTTAGGCCCCACCAGACAAAGCTCACCTTTCACCCAGGCAGGCCTGACTTTTGTCCCTCCTTGTCCCTGCATCGGGGCCATGGCCATGGAGTTGGGGACAGTCTTCCTGGGGCATGTGCAGCACATGCATTGTGCCCATCCTGGGCCTGGGACCCTCCCTTGTCTGTGCCCCGCAAAGGCCCCTGGATGAGTTCTCAGGGACCCTCGTTCCCATTTAAAGGTTCCATGGACACCCAGCCAGGCCGGGTGCTTCCCAGAAGGACCAGGGATACAGCACCCACCCTGGACCCATGTGTGGCTTCTGGCTGCCCACCTGCTCCCAGAGTCTGCAGGACCATCAGATGGCCAGTCCACTTGGCATGATCCTGGGTCCCCTGTCCCCTCTGGTTGGTCCTGGGTCCCCTCTGTGTGGTGTCTGGTTCTCTCTCTGGTTCTCGGTCCCTTTCTGGGGGCGGGGGGTCCCAGGTCCCTTTGAGGTGGTTTTGGATACCTTCTGGGTGGTCTTGGGTCCCTTGGGCTCCTTCCTTCCCTGCACTCCAGGGTGTTAGTCTGAGCAAGGTTCCCTGCAAGGTGGGGTCCCTGCCCCAACCACATCCCCACTGTCCCCCACCAAACACCTGGCCATGCAGAGCCTCTGCCCTTTGCCTCCATGGGGCTGGGGGTGAAACCAAATCCGGGGCAGTGACACCCGGGCTATTTTGGAGATGGGCTGGGCTGGCCGGCGGCGGGGGCGGGCCCAGCCTTCAGCTGACAGCGTCTGCCTGTCCTTTCGTCCCTGTCCAGTCTGAGGACCGGCCAGAGAGTGGGCTGCTGGGTGGGAGCCGTGTCAGTCCTGGGCCCGTGGAGGGAGGTGAGACCCAGCAGCCCCTGCCCTGCCGTCTGAGCCCCCCGCCTGGGTGCTGCTCCCAGCCTCCCTTAGAGACAGGTGAGGAGGCAGGGCAAACAGGGTGGGGGGACCTCCTGGGCCTAGCCCCTCTACCCCAGGACTGCTCTGTTGAAGGTCAGTGCTCTGGGGTACAAATTGCCCGGGAAGGGGGCTGGTCCAGCCAGGCTGTGCGGCTCTGAGGGTTAGTGCCCTGGAATCCAGCCCCTGCTGTGACCTGAGCCCTCATTCAGGGAGGGAGCAGCTGGGGTGGGAGGTCAGGGGGCTGTGGGGGTGCATCCACATCCTCCTTTGCCTGGGGGCTCCCTGTGCTGAGGCAGGCCTGGGGGTCTGGCCAGCCCTGCCCCCAGCTCTGCTGAGATGGATGCCCGCTGACAGCTGGGGCTATTTTAGGCCTGTTGGCTCAGCAGAAGGGACAGCCAGAGGGGCACTGACACCTGACTCCAGGAAAGAATTTCCCCGGGAGTTGGGAGTTCAGGAAGCTGCCAGCTCAGGGGTCTAGGGGGAGGTGCGGACTCCAGGAGCTGCCCTTGGAAAGTCTTTTCTGGAAGGGTGGGGGTGGGGGTGGGCGTCACAGGGCAGCAGGAGCTCCAAGGAGGGGACCAGGCTCTGCAGTCAGGCTGCGAGTCACTTCCCAGCTTCGGTGCATCTGGGAAATGGCCCAGAGGCCCCCGAGGAGGACCTGAGATTGGCCAAGTTCTAGAAGAGCCAGGATGGAGGCTGTGGGCAGGGCTCAGACCAGCCCCAGGGACTCCTGAGCCCCAGAGGCAGAACCCCAGGTTGTTGGGGCATAGTCTCCATGTGGAAGGAGGCTCCTGCCAGTGCCAAGCTGGGTCCTCCAAGGCATCAGGAGTCTGAGTGGGGTCCACAGAGAGCCGCCTCCCCAAGAGGGTGGCTGAAGAAGGAAGGGGCTTTTTCTGGTAGGCCGGGGATGTGTCCCCTCCTGAGTCTTGTGTCTCTGCACTCACTGCTGCATGTCTGTGCCCAGTGGGAGTTTTGGGGGCCCCCAGAGGGTGGTCCCTCCAACTTGGCCTGAAGGACTGTGACTCTGGAGTCGAGTCTCTGCCCACCCCTGCCAGGCCAGGGGTCAGCGTGTGCACCTGCCAAGGTCCTGGGCTGAACCCCCAAGCATGTGTGGTGATGGGAGCTCCCTGTCCTGTCCCTGGCCCCCAGAGGCCACCAGCCATGGAGGTGGCCTCTGCCCATGACCACTCGTGAGCTCCCAGAGCTGCACCTGGTGTGTTGGGGGGAGGATGCATGTCCTGCCTCAGGGAGAACCACACACCAATGGTGATTCAGGAGGTGGGCCCTGGGAGCTCAGATCTCAGGGCCTCTGGGGACCTGGTGTCAGAGTAACCCTTCCCCAGAGAGACATCAAGGCCCAAGAGGGCGTCCACAGGGGCGGGGCTCGGGTGGCCACCAGCCCAGGTCCTCCCAGCCCCAGAACATAGCCAGGCCATGGGGGGCAGGGGCCAGAGGTGCTGACCGCACAGTGAGTCAGCAGGCTGGAGCGGTCTCACCTCCTCGAGGGGGATTAAGGGGGATTAGGCCCTGAATCACAGGACATCACCCTGCTTGTCCCCCAGTGGGCAGCCCGTGCTGGGAGCCTATCCGTGGGTTGGGGAAGGAGTAAAGGTGCTTGAGGCCAGCCCTAAGCCCAGTGGCCTGCTGTTCTTACAGAAGCCAGGGGTAAGGCTCAGGCTCACCTTACCCACCTGTGCTGAAGACCAGCTGGGGCCTGCATGGCAGGGGTCTCTAGGCAGAGGCCGGTCACCTGGGGCTTTCAGGTGGTGCCAACCCCGTCTCCATGGGGTGTCTGGCCAGCGGAGCCACAAAGTCTGTAGAATGACCAGGCTCCTGGCAGACAACCTGGCCAGGCTCTTTTGGGGGGACTCTGCCTGTCCTCCCTGAGCACACACTGACTGTGTGCCCTCCAGACCCTTCGTGGCTGCTCACAGGGAGGGGGTGTGGGCAGCTCAGCCCGTTAGAAGAGGCCAGCTGGCAATGAGGTCTCCAATCCTTCCCTGCTCATCAGGGTGGGGGGAGGGGGCAGCCCCAGGAAAGGTGTGGGCAGCTACAGGTGGGGCAGGCCTCTGTAATGGGCACTGCCCGGGGTGAGCAGGGTTAAGCTGCACACAGATGGATGTATAGTCTGACAGCTTTGGTGGATGAATCATCAGGAGGAGAAAGTTGGGGGGCAAAAGGGGACACGCAGGGCAGGGCCGAGGGCTCAGAGGAGAGCCTGCTGGGAGACAGGTCACCTCGGGTGCACCATAGTCAGAGAGGGGACAGGCCAGCAGCAGGCACCCACCATGGGCCTCCCATGACCAGGCCCCGTCCAGGCGTGGAGAGCTGAGTGGCAGAGGTGTAGGCAGACTGGAGTTTCAGACTCGAGGTGGAGTTGTGTGGAGAGGAGGGGAACTGGTCACCAGGAAGCAGCTGGAGTGAGGCAGGGGGAACAGGCAGGTCTGTGTGGAGAGGCACAGCATGGCCCCTGAGTAGGGAGGACATCGGTGCACAGAGGAGGGACAGCCTGGCTGCTGGTGTGCTGTTTTGGGACGAGTGTTCAACTGGACCTCAGATGGGGTGTGGGGCTAGAGCTGGGAAGACAGGAAGAAGATACGCCCACTGGTTAGAAAAACCCGTTGAGGGATGTGGCACCAAACTCCAGGTGCCCAGAAAGGGATTTTCTGGACCACTGTGCCTTCTGGTAGTTCTACATGTGCATGGTGGTCGGGGGTTGGGGGAGATGAGGCCGGGAGGCGTCCACCCTGGGTTAGACTGGATTCTTCAGAAGGCACTGGACAGGAAGCCGGTGGGGGACTCAGATAGTATCTGCGGCTCATCCCCCCTATGACTTTCCCCCAACCCAGCTCGCAGGTCCCTCCCTCCGCCTCCGCCCCCCGCCCCCCACCATGGATCACTCATTCAGCGGGGCGCCCCGATTCCTGACCCGGCCCAAGGCCTTTGTGGTGTCGGTGGGCAAGGATGCCACTCTGAGTTGCCAGATCGTGGGCAACCCTACGCCTCAGGTGAGCTGGGAGAAGGACCAGCAGCCGGTGGAGGCGGGCGCTCGCTTCCGCCTGGCCCAGGACGGCGACCTGTACCGCCTCACCATCCTGGACCTGGCCCTGGGCGACAGCGGGCAGTATGTGTGCCGTGCGCGCAACGCCATCGGCGAGGCCTTCGCGGCTGTGGGTCTGCAGGTGGATGCCGAGGCCGCTTACGCCGAGCAGGCGCCCCATTTCCTGTTGCGGCCCACGTCCATCCGAGTGCGCGAGGGCGCCGAGGCTACCTTCCGCTGCCGCGTGGGCGGCTCGCCGCCCATGGCAGTGAGCTGGGCCAAGGATGGGCGGCGCCTGGGCGCGCCCGACGCCCCCCGAGTACGCGTGGAGGCCAGCGGTGAGGCCAGCGCGCTGCGCATCCAGTCCGTGCGGCCGCGCGACGGCGGCACGTACACGGTGCGCGCGGAAAACCCTTTGGGCGCCGCTAGCGCCGACGCCGCGCTTACGGTGGACGCGGACCCAGATGCTGCCCCGCCAGGGTCCTCCACAGCCGGGCTTCTGGCGCACCTGCAACGGCGGCGGGAGGTGATGCGCGCCGAGGGCATCCCGGCTTCGCCACCCGGCTCAGGCATGCGCACCTGCACGGTGACTGAAGGCAAGCACGCGCGCCTCAGCTGCTACGTGACGGGCGAGCCTAAGCCGGAAACGGTGTGGAAGAAGGATGGCCAGCTGGTAGTGGAGGGCCGGCGTCACCTGGTGTACGAGGACGCTCAGGAGAACTTTGTGCTCAAGATCCTCTTCTGCAAGCAGTCGGACCGGGGCCTCTACACCTGCACGGCATCCAACCTGGTGGGCCAAACCTACAGCTCCGTGCTGGTCGTCGTGCGAGGTGAGAGCCGCGCGCGCAGGGCTCACAGTCCCTGAGCCAGGTCGGGGCTAGAGCGCAGGAGCAGGCGCCTCCTCAGCCCCTCCCCCCACCGGGAATGGAATCCTTCGTGGAACCTTGGCGGTTCTCGCCTCTTCGGGTCCGCGAAATGAGGGCGACACGGGTGACCCTCAGCCTGTCCCATTGTCTGTGAGAGTCACATGAGTGAACAACAAAGCGCTTTGTCCTCAGCGCCCCCTCCTCCTGAGATACGGTCCGGCTGAGCCAGGCCGTCCACCCCTTGACGGGTTGCTAAGGGGGCCTCCCTGGCAGAGTGCGGAACAAAAGCAAGGGCTGGGGCTGGGGCTAGGGCCGAGCCAGGTTGAGCCTGGAGACGGTTCGGAGCCAGTTCATAGGTTCCTGTTGAGGATTCCTGAAGGGGTCTGGGGCTCCCTCCAGGTTCTGGAGGAAAGCGCGCGCGAACAACATGATCAGGTCCTGCGTGAGAGTTGATTAGGCTACTAAGACCAGAGGCTGAGCTCCACTTCAGACCCTCTGTAGGATCTCAGGGCGCTACGGCCTTCAGTGCGCCCCAGGCAGTGGCCCTGGCAGAGAAAATGGCTCGGTTCCTGGGGGGGCGGGGGCGGGGGGCTGTGGAAGCTGCACGGGAGGAAATGTGCAGGGCCGCGGCGCCTGGCCCCAAAGTAGGTGCTCAGGGAGTTGAGTGATCTGGCGCTGGCCCCGCCTCCTGGCTGCTGGCGCGGGTGTGAGCCCCCCGGGGATTCTGCACTGGGCTGCAGGCTGTGTCTTCCCGACATCTTCTATTTTAGGGGAAGGGACTCTTTAGGTTCTGTACCCTCACCCGCCCCGTCCCCCTTCCATCCCCCTACCTCCCTGCACGCAACCCTGCTGCTGCTCTGCCTTCCCACCTCCCTTGCCCCATAGCCCCTCCAGCCCCTGCCCTGGTTCCCCGCTCCCACTCCAGCCCCCTACTCCGAGCTCCTTAATCTGTCTCGCTTCCAGCCCGGATCCCCGCCTCTCACTGCTACCCGACCAGCGCTCCGTCCCCACTCCCCCCCCCTCCTCCTTCTCAGGCCTGTCTTCCCTGCCTCGCCCCTGCTCCATCCTACCGCCCCAGCCCCTCTCACTCGCCTTCTCCCCTCAGAGCCCGCTGTACCCTTCAAGAGGCGACTTCAGGACCTGGAGGTGCAGGAGAAGGAGTCGGCCACGTTCCAGTGCGAGGTGCAGCTGCCGTCCACGGAGGCCACGTGGTACAAGGAGGAGACGCGGCTGTGGGCCAGCGCCAAGTATGGCATCGAGGAGGCGGGCACTGAGCGCCGGCTCACAGTGCGCAACGTCTCAGCCGACGACGACGCTGTCTACATCTGCGAGACCACGGAGGGCAGCCGCACAGTGGCTGAGCTCGCGGTGCAAGGTGGGCGGGGGTCGGGTGTGGGGGGGTCAGGAGTCCTGCGGTGGAGGCAGGGGTCCTGTGGGGGGACAGAAATCTTGCGGGATGGGGACAGGGCTCAGAAGGGGGTGGGGGCAGGGGTCAAAGGGGGTAGGGAGGGGTCCTGCAGGGTGGCGGCGAGGTTCATGTATGGGTAAAGGCAAGGGTCCTATGGGGGAACGGGGGTTGTGTGGGGGAGGGGAGAGGTCTTGAGGGTGATGGCGGGCTTGGGGGCGGGGCCATACGGGGGCGGGGTCTTGCGCTGGCCAGTGGAAAGTGGGCTGGGGGGGGGGCTGGGGTCCTGTCTCACCAGCCCCTCACTCTGACCATCACAGGCAACCTCATCCGGAAGCTCCCGAGGAAGACCGCGGTACGAGTGGGTGACACGGCCATGTTCTGTGTGGAGCTGGCCAGGCAGGAGGGCCCCATCCGCTGGCTGAGGAACCAGGAGGAGGTGGTGGCTGGGGGCCGCGTGGCCATCACCACAGAAGGCACGTGCCACACGCTGACCATCTCCCAGTGCAGCCTGGAGGACATGGGCGAGGTGACCTTCACTGCTGGTGACTGCCGGACGTCCACCCAGTTCTTTGTGTCTGGTAAGGGCCTGGGGAGTGCCCTTGGATGGGCAGTGCCCTTTCCCGTCCTGTGACCGCTGGGCCCTGCTGTGCTCTCCAGCCCGCTGCACGGAGGGCTTTGGGGCACTGGACCAATGGGTCATAGCTGTGATTTCCTTGGGCCCCTGGTTTGTTTGCTGTCCTCCTTCACTGTGGTCACCCCAGGTGACTGCCAAGTAGCAGTCCAGGTGCCCCCCCACCCTGCAAACCACATTAGAAGCTACAGATTGTTGTGGGAGGGGTGAGGGTGGGATGTCAGGAGTGGGCATGTCCTCTTTCTGTGGACTTTTGTATCACATTTGTAGATTTGGGGGAGCAGGTCCCTCCCCCCATCCACCCCCATTGGTCAGCCCTTGGTTGGGGTAGGAATGTGTCCTTGCACACAGGTCTGAGCACCCTCAGAGTGGTCACTGTACCCTGCTTTGGTCACTGCCTAGCCCAAGACCTGCAGAAACAGATAAGGCTTGTGCCCAGGCCACGTGCACAGTTTGTGAGTTTGTGCACTCTTCCCCCTGCACCCAAGGAAATGGCCACAGAGCTGGGCCATGGGTCGTGGGCCCACATCCTCCCTGGGCCCAGCAGTCCCCCTGGGCTATGGCCATTCCCAGACCATGCTGTGGGTTCTGTGACACCTTGAAGGGCTGACCTTGGATCCAGGGCTTCGGGAGGGAGCTGCTGGCCAGTGACATTGGCTGTGGTGTCCCCAGCCCCTAGGAGGCCGCCCCTGCACGCCCCTGAGGCCCCAGTGGTAAAGGCCAGGACAGAGTTCTCCGTCACCCTCGCCTGGTCTCCACCACCTCACGGGGACCTCCCTGTCCCCATCGATGGTTATCTGGTGGAAAAGAAGCGGCTTGGTGCCTATGCCTGGAGCCGGTGCCACAAGGCGGAGTGGGTGGCTGAGCACAAGCTGACCGTGGCCAACGTGGCTGAGGAGGGGGACTTCCAGTTCCGGGTATCAGCTGTAAACAGCTTTGGCCAGAGCCCCTACTTGGAGTTCCCAGGGACTGTCCACCTGGGTAAGTGAGGAAGGGCTCCTCAAGTCTGCCCCATGGGCTTCCTGGGAGAGGAGGCACTTGGGCTCTGGAGGGGGAGCAGAGGAGGGCAGAGGCCGGCCCCGTCCTGAGGCCCTCACTCTGCAGCCCCCCAGCTGGCCGTGAAGACACCTCTGAAGGCAGTGGAGGCAGTGGAGGGTGGCGAGGTGACCTTCTCTGTGGACCTCACTCTGGCCTCGGCGGGCGAGTGGTTCCTGGATGGCCAGCCCCTGAAGGCCAGCAGCGTGTATGTGATCTGCCACGATGGCACGCGGCATGCCCTCACCATCCGCTCTGTGTCTGCCAGCCTGAATGGCGCTGAGCTCAAGTTCATGGCCAATGGCATTGAGAGCAGCATCCGCATGGAGGTCCGAGGTACGGGACCCCAGCTCTGACCCCCAGGCCTCTTCCCTAGGGATGGGTGGACTCCTGGGTGGTTTCCTGGATGATGTGGGCTGGGCAGGGGAGGGGGGTGTGAGGCAGCTTGCCCAGGGCTGGGGGCAGCCTCAGCCTCAGGATATGAGTGGAGGAGGGGCTTCAGGACCTCACTTCTGCATCTGCCTGCTCCCCTCTCTCTCTGCAATCTTGTCTCTTCCTCTTTTCTTCTGTCTGTTCCTTCATACCCAACTCTCCCACTCTGTCCACTCTCCCCTGTCCCCTCCCCAATGACCCTCCCCTGTCCATCCCCAATGTCCGCTCCCCATCTTCCACCCCCTCTCGCTGCCCCCTTCCCCCCTGTCCACTCTCCCCTGTCTCCTCCCGAACTCTCCCCTCTGTCCCCTCCCCATCTATCCCCAATGTCCCCTCCCCATCCGTTCACCCCCTCTCTCTCTCCTCCTCCCCCTACTCTCCACTGTCTCCTCCCCCACTCTCCCCTCTGTCCCCTCCCCCATCTACCCCCAATGTCCCCTCCCCATCTGTCCACCCTCTCTCGCTGCCCCCTCGCTCACTGTCCACCCCTCTGTCCACGTCCTCTGTGCCCACTTGTGCGTGGCCCCAAGCGGCCCCAGGGCTGACCACCAAGCGTCCAGTAGCAGCCGTGAGGGAAGTGCTGGCCCGGTTGCATGAGGAGGCGCAGCTCCTGGCCGAACTGTCAGACCAGGCCGCGGCGGTGACATGGCTGAAGGATGGTCACGCACTGCCCCCAGGCCCCAAGTACGAGGTGCAGGCAAGCGCCGGGCAGCGGGCGCTGCTGGTGCGTGACGTGGTTCGAGACGATGCTGGCCTGTACGAGTGTGTCAGCCGTGGGGGCCGCATCGCCTACCAGCTGTTGGTGCAAGGTGATGTTCTCTGTGTGTGCATGTGTGTCCATGTCCTTGTTGGCCCACCACCACCGTGGTCATGGCCACACATTATGTTCCCCAGCTCTGGACAGCCTCTAGGGAGTCTGGGAAGTGGTAGCCACTGTCCTCTGTCCCCATGGGGGGTGGGGTGGGGGGCTTAGCTGAGCTTGGGAAGCAGGGGGCTGGGGTTTGTCTCCAGGGATGCTATGATGTCAGGGGCAGACAGCCTGTGGGAGGCTGGGGGAGGGGCTTCCTGAGAACAGGTGGCATGTGAGTGGTTGGAGGTGGCCAGTCCAGGCCAGTCCTACCTCTGAAGGGGACCCTAGTCGGCGAGACCCCAAAGCCCCAGGCATCTGCATCTGCTGTCCGAGTGGGTGGACCTGAGGCCAGAGCTCTGCTGGCCCCCCTGACCCTCCCATGTGCCCTTGCAGGGCTCACTCCCTTTCTGCACAAGGACACAGCTGGTGGCTTCGTGGATGTTGTGGCTGGGGGCCCGGTGCACTTTGAATGTGAGACTTCTGAGGCCCAGGTTCGTGTGCACTGGTACAAAGATGGCACAGAGCTCAGCGGCTCCAGCCAGCGCTTCCTGCAGGAGGACGTGGGCACATGGCACCGGCTGGTGGCAGCCTCAGTCAGCAGGCAGGATGAGGGCACCTACTCGTGCCGCGTGGGTGAGGACTCCGTGGACTTCCAGCTGCGTGTCCATGGTGAGCTGCAGCCTCCAGGGCTTGGTGGGTGGGAAGCAGGTCCGGCTGCATCAAGCACTTCTGAGGCCAAGCTGCTTGGCCCTTCCTTTCTTCCAAGAATGCTTAGCTTGGGGGGAGAAGGGGGGCAGGGACAGTTGCTTCCAGAATCAGGGAAAGTGCCCACAGAACTGACATTTAGATGACAGAAGACTGTAAGTATGGAAAATAAAATATGACATTTGCAGCCCTTTTCCTCTTTTCGAGGATGAAAAAGTGAGGCTGGCAAGACCCAAAAGGTGCCAGAAGCCACCTCGGCAGGTTAGGATGAGGCTCTGGCTCTTTCTAGAAGCTACTGGCATGTCTTGGCAGTTCTCAGGATCTGGCTTTGCCTGAGTTCTGGCCCTTGGTAGGGCTTCGGCCACTGCTGCCCTGCCTCCCTCCAGCTATCCCCAGGCGCCGGGCCAGGGTGCCCATCATGCTGCTCAGTGGGGTCAGGGCACGAGGGCCCCACTGGCAGCACCTGACCATGAAGGGTCTCCAAGGTGGCCTGGAGTCTAGAGCATGTCTGTGCCCTGGCTCCAGGACTTGGGGAACCTCACCTCAGTAGGACCTCTGACCATGTGTCCCTCCCTGTCCCCAGAGCCCTCAGCCATGTTTGCTAAGGGGCAGCCGGCATGCAGTGCGGTGCAGGCCAAGGCGGGGACCAGCGCCACGCTGAGCTGTGAGGTGGCCCAGGACAAGACGGAGGTGACATGGTACAAGGATGGGAAGAAGCTGAATGCCAGCTCCAAAGTGCATATGGAGGCCAAGGGCTGCAGCAGGAGGCTGGTGGTGCAGCAGGCGGGGAAGGCGGATGCTGGGGAGTACAGCTGCGAGGCGGGGGGAGAGAAGGTCTCCTTCCACCTGGATGTCACAGGTCAGTTGACAAGGCAGATGTGTGAGTGTATCCCAGGAGCAGCCCTGTGTGTTGGTGGGGGCTGGGGCAGTGATCCACAGCTTGGTCAGGGCCTATATTGGTCAGTTATCTAGTGCCATGTAACAAACACCCCCAAACCTTGGAGACTGCTGGTTCTGTGGTCAGGAGCTCTGGCAGGGCTCAGCTAGACCACTTATTTCTGCCAGGACTGGAGGATCCAGCCCGGCCTCATCCACACATCTGAGGTCCCAGTAGGGGGTGTCAGTGAATGGTCTGGCTGGGAGGGCGGGCCTGTCTCCTTGCAATGCTGACCAGGCCCACTCCTGTGTCTGGGATCCCATTCTCTCCTCCTGATGCTTCAGCCCAGGGCCCATTTCCTCATGTGGATAGCCCGGCTCCTTCCCCTCAGGGAATAGCAGAGCTACAGGGCTTGTAATGTCTGTGCTCAGAGTGTGACCTCCATCAGCTTCTACTGTGCAAAGCCAGGCATAAGGTGTCCGGTTCCCAGGTTGAGGGGAGAGGTAGACACCTTGTTGAGGGGTGTGGACACAGGGAAGCTTGCCTCATCAAGGACCACTTCTAGCGGTCTATCACAGGGACGTCACAGGGGCACAGGCTCTGTCTGTCTCTATTTCTCTGCCCTCCTGAGCACAAGATAAGGATCTTTCTAATGCTTGTTTCCTCATGGTCACAAGATGGCTTCCATAGCTCCAGCCATCCCATTCAAAATGGGAAGAACATGCAAGGGGTGTTTTTTCTTTTTCTTTTTCTTTTTTTTTTTTTGCTGCTGTGCAACAAATTATCACAAACTCAGTGGCTTCAAATACTGATGGCCACACCCTGCCGTAGATAGCCTTGAAAAATGAGCCCCTGGCCCTACTGCCTTGGCAGTGGGAGGTCGAGGGTGGAGGAGGTGGGCCAGTGGTCACATGGCTGGCTGTGTGTGTCCTGGGACTGCCTTGTCCCATGGGGTGGCTGCACCCCGAGATTGGACACTCCCTTCAAGGCAGGCAGTGTAGGCGTCAGAGTGTGGATAAGGTCAGATCGCAGCCCTGCTGGGTGACCTGAGGCAAGTTGTCAGTGTTATGTGTCCCTGAAATTCATGTGTGCCCAGACCTCAAAACATGGCCTTATGTGGAAATGGGGTCTTTGCAGAGGTGATCAAGGTGAGGGATCTTGAGGTGAGAGCATCCTGGATCATGGTGGGTCCTTATAAGACAAGGGAGGGTTTTGAGATACCCATGTGGTGACAGAGGGAGAGACTGGGGAGGCATGACCATGAAACCAGAATGCCAGGAGGGGGGTGTCCAGCAGCCGGGAGAGGCAGGAGAGACCCTCCTGGAGCCTTCAGAGGGAGCATGGCCCTGCAACACTTTGACCTCAGACCTGGGAGACAACAGAGCTGTCCTAGGTCCCCCTTTTGTGGCCATTTGATCCTGCCATCTGTAACTCAGTTTCCTCTTCTGCAAAGTAGTAATGGAGCTTCTAAGCCTTTGCTGAGAGGCTCTGCCCTTAAGACCGTGGCACTCTGTGAGCAGCACGGGCCTCCTGTCTAGACATTGGACCAGGGTTCTGAGGACGAGGTAGGCAAGACAGGGGACCAGAGCTCGCTTGGTGGGGCTGGGGTCCAGGTCCTTGGCATCAGGGCCTGGAAGATAAGCCTGAGTGTATCAGGCGGGTGGCGCTCAGGGAGTGAGTATATGCCTGGGTGTCTGGAAAGTTCTGGAAGGCAGCTGGTGGTGTGTGAGGCTTGGGGCAGGAGGCTGAGCAGGAACTGGTACCAGGGTAATTTGAGTACAATGCCATAAAGTCTACCTTTTTACAGTGTACGATTCTGGCTTTAGTACATTCACAAGGCTGTGCACCCATACCAACATCTAGTTCTAGAATGTTGTCACAACCCTGTGAAATGCTGAACCCACCGTCACCCCGTGTTTGCCCTCCCCCAGCCCCTGGCAACCACGAATCCACTTTCTGCCTCTGTGGATCGGCCTGTGGTGGACACTTTATTTAAGTGGATGCCATGTGGATTGCATCCCACGTTTCGTCTATCTTTTCATCAGCTAATGCACATTGTGGTTGATCCCAGTGTTTGGCTGTTACCAACAGTGCTGCTAGAACATTCTTAGATGGGTGAACATATGTTTTCAAGTCTCTTGTTGCTTGGTTATATAGTAATTTTATGCTTAACTTCCTGAAGGGCCGTTTTCCACAGTGGCTGCCCCCTTTTACATTCCCACCAGCAGCATGCGACGGTCTTTCTCCAGATCCTCACCAGTGCTCATTAGTTTCGTTTTATCTATTTGTTTTTTGCTTCTAGACACACTAGTGGGCATGAGGAGGTATCTCATTATGGTCTTGATTTGCATTTTCCTGATGATGCATGATGTTGAGCATCGTTTCATGTACATGTTGGCCATGTGGATGTCTTCTTTGGAGAAATGTCTATTCAGGTCCTCTGCCTTATTTTTAAGTTGTGTTATCTTTTTATTGTTGTAAGAGTTCTTTACATATTCTGGATACTAGATCCTTATCAGATAAAAGATTTGCAAATATTTACTGTCATTCACTTTGTTGATAGTGTCCTTTGATGCACAAAAATTTTATTTAACTGTGATGAAGTCCAATGTGCCCTCTTTCATTGCTTATGTTTGGTGTTCTGTCTAATAAACCAGTGCCTGATCCAAGATCACACCAACTGACACCTGTTTTCTTCTAAGAGTTGTCTAGTTTTTGTTCTTACATTTATGTCTTTGATTCATTTTGAGTTAGTTTTTCTATATGATGTGACACAGGTTCATTGACTGTCCATGGCCTGTCTCTTCAGGAAGTGTTCTTTTAATGATGTCCCTTAGTCTCTCTTGTTGTGCCTTTGGTTATTTTATTTCCCTACTCGTAGTGATATTTGGGATTCTCCACTTTGTGTACTTTAACTTGTTTCTTGAGGTAGCCCTCAATGTCCCCTTGCTCCAAAAGCAAAAGGAGCTCTGAGGGGTAAAATATTTGGGTACTTGATGGTCCAATGACCACTTTTTGTCATGCCGAAAGTGTCTCTGTTATGTTCTTTTTCATAGTCCGAGAGTATTTCTTTTCAGTTCATTAAAGGATATGATAAGGGTACAGGTGGACATCCAGATAGAAGAGATGCATAGGACCAGGTATAGGGAAGGAGCGAGGAGCTTCCATTCTATCTACAGATACTCCATTCTCCCCAAACCTCGCTTTGTATGGTGTGACGCAGGGATCCAGCTTCATTCCCTGCATGTGGAAATCCAGTTATTCTAGCACTGTATGTTGAACAGACTTCTTCCCTGTTGAGTTTTCTTGGCACATTTGTCAAAAATCAGCTGACTATCAGGGCATCTGTGTGGCTTAGTTGGTGGAGCATCAGACATTGGCTCAGGTCATGATCTCATGGCTCATGAGTTTGAGCCCTGCATCAGGCTCTGTGCTGACAATGCAGAGCCCACTTTGGATTCTCTGTCTCCCTCTCTCTGTCTTTCCTCCACTAGGTGTGCGTGAGTGCTCTTTCTCTCCCTCTTTCTCACAAAAATAAATGTAATAAAATCAGCTGACCATCAATGTCAGGATTTACTTCTGGATTCTCAATTCTGTTCTATTCATACATAAAACTGTGTGTCTGTCCTATGTCAGTACCACAGTCTAGATCACTGTAGCTTTGTGGTGGTTTTTGAAATTGACAAATGTGAGTCCTCCAACTTTTTTTTTTTTTTTAAGATTTTTCAGGTATTTGAGGTTCCTGCATTTCCACATGAATTTTAGGATCAGCTTTTCAAATTTTGCAAAAATGGAAGTTGGTCTTTTAATATTATTGTACTGGATGTGTAGATTAAATTGAGTATTGATGTCTTGAAATATTAATCTTCTGATCCTCTCTATTTGTCAAGGTTTTACAACTTTTTTTCAAGATTTTAGTTTTCATTGTAAAAGACTTGTGGAGTTTGTTGCCACGTATTCATTCTTTTTGATGCTTCTTTAAATGGAATTGTTTTCTTAATTTCATTTTCAGATGGTTCATTGCTAATACACAGAAATAGAACTAACTTTTGAATATTGATCTTGTGTCCTACAAGGTTTACTCACCTATTAATTCTTTCATGGTTTCCTAAGGATATTTTTTAGACCCAAAAAGGTGTCACCTGGACATACAGATAGTTTTACTTCTTCATTTACAGTCTAGATGCCTTTCATTTTGTTTTTTGATCACTGATTGAACCTCTTTACTTTTTGTAAGTCTGTTCAGATTTTCTATGTCTTTGGGGGTCAGTTTTGACAGTTTCTGTGTTTCTATAAGTTTGTCCATTTGGTCTGGATTGTCCAATTTGTTGGCATACAATTGTTCATGGCATTCCCTACCATGCTTTTTATTTCTCTAATATCTGTACTGATGTCTCCACATTTATTTCCACTTTAAAGTTGGGTCCCTCAAACTTTCTTGGTCAGTCTAGCTAATGGTTTGCCAATTTTGTCAACAAAATTTTTATATTTTAAAAATTTGTTAATGTTATATTTATTTCTGAGAGAGAGAGAGCATGAGCAGGCGAGGGTCAGAGAGAGAGGGAGATACAGAATCTGAAACAGGCTCCAGGTTCTGAGCTAGCTGTCAGCACAGAGCCCAACGCAGGGCTCGAACCCATGAACTGTGAGATCATGACCTGAGCTGAAGTTGGAAGCTTAACTGACTAGGCCACCCAGGTGTCCCCTGTTGATCTTTTTAAATGTACTTCATTCTTTCTATTTCTTTTTTATTCTCTATTTCATTTATCTCCACACTAGTCTTTATTTCATTCCTTCTTCTAACTTTGGGTTTCACTTACTCTTCTTTTTCTAGTTTTCTTTTTCTTACTTTTTTTTTTTAATGTTTATTTATTTTGGAGAGACAGAGAAAGACAGAGTGCAAGCAGGGGAGGGGCAGAGAGAGAGGGAGACACAGAATCCAAAGCAGGCTCCAGGCTCTGAGCTATCAGCACAGAGCCTGA